CCAACTTAGCCAAGGCTTTAAGAGCAAACATGGCACCTACTTTTAGGAAGCCTGGAGTCAGACAGGGAAGAGCTCTCACTGTCCTCGGTGACCTCTGGGAAGTAGAAATGTGGTTGGAAATATCATTCAGGGACAGGAGCTTCTGGGGGAAGCCAGGAATTGCTCGCTTTTCCCAAACAAGCCTGAGTCAAACCTACCATTTCCAGGCAGCCTCGGTCAGTGGGGGCGTGGGGAGGGTTATCCTGTCTCCAACGATCTGGTGGGAAGCAAGACATTGAACCCACCCCTCAGCTAAGGCCTTCCCACTCCTATAGATCAAAACAAACTGGACTCAGCACCCTAGGGTCACAGCATCTGATGGCCCAAAGCATTCCCTGGGCGATTTCTGTGGACCTTAGAGGGCCACCTTCCCCATGGTCCTTTTGATCCCAACTTCTGTATCCAAACATCAAATCCCTACTCTGTTCCTATGTAACAACTTGCGTGCACTAAGACCTTTCACTGTTTTCCCCCAAATTGTTGCCACACCCAGAGGTTTATTCCCCTTATGGAAGGTTTGAGGGGTCCTGTACCCATCTTCCAGTGATCTTAAAAGTTCTCTCTGCGTCTCCCTCTCCCCCTTTCCTCTCTCCTTCTCTCCTCTCCCTCTCAGGAGCCAACTCTGTCCTTGTTTTAGCAGAGTGTTTTTCTGCCTCCACTTAGATTTTGGCACCTGCCGATGGTCCTGCCCACGGCTGCTCTGTTCCACCCCAACAGGCTTCTCCAGGCAAACCTTCCAAAGAAACACGATGCTCTCCGCAAGAGGACTTCTGATCAATTCAAGTTTCTGCATCTCTTTAATTAGAAACAATTTAGTCAAACCGGGAGAGAGGCATTTTATCATCAATTAGCCAAATTATTATCTCTTACAGGGTAAGGTAAATCAAAAAGAGAATGGAAATGATTAACCTTGCAAATATTTGAGATGCAGAACCCTCAAATCTTCAGATCAAAGATGTTTTTTAAAGAAGGATTAAAATGCAAACCCCATCAAAGTGTGTTTTAAATCAATGCCTCTAAAATTTCAGTATGCATACAGATCCCCGGGGGATCTTGCTAAATGCATATTAGAATTCAGCAAGACTGAAGTGGGGCCAAAGTTTCTGCCTTTTTTTTTTTTTTAAGTTTATTTATTTATTTTTGAGAGAGAGAGAGGGAGACAGAAAATCCCAAGCAGGCTCTGCACTAAAAGTGCAGTGACGTGGGGTTCGAACTCATGAACCTGTGAAATCATGACCAGGGCTGAAACAAAGAGTTGGATGCTTAGCCAACTGAGTCACTCAGGTGCCCCAAGTTCTGCATCTTTCATAAGCTCCCAGGTGATGCTGTTGCCGCAGGTCCATGGACCATACTTTGAAAAGTAGTCATAGGTCAGTGGTTTTCAAAGTTACAGCTACTGGAATTACCTGGGGGAGCTTAAAAAATATTAATGCCTGGACTCCACTCCAATATTCTCATGTGATCGAGAATGGCTGAACATTAGTATTAAAAAAAAAATCCATCTTCAACTAAGGGGGTTGGGAAAACTGGAGAGCTACATGCAAAAGAATGAAACTGGACCACTTTTTTTTTTTTAATGTTTTTTTTTTTTAAATTTACTTTTAGGAGAGAGAGAGACAGCGTGAGCAGGGGAGGGTCAGAGAGAGAGGGAGTCACAGACTGAAACAGGCTCCAGGCTCTGAGCTGGCAGTCAGCACAGAGCCCGACGCGGGGCTCGAACCCACGAACCGTGAGATCATGACCTAAGCGAAAGTCGGACGCTTAACCGACTAAGCCACCCAGGCGCCCCTGGACCACTTTCTCATACCACACACAAAAATAAACTCAAAATGTGTTAAAGACCTAAATGCGAGACCTGCAACCATAATAATCCTAGAAGAGAGCACAGGCAGTCATTTCTCTGGTGTTGGCTGTACAACTTTTTTCTAGATAGGTCCCCTGTGGCCAGGGAAACAAAAGCAATAATAAACTATTGGAACTACATCAAAATAAAAAGCATCTGTACAGCTAAGGAAACAATCAACAAAACTAAAAGACAACTTATTGAATGGGAGAAGATATTTGCAAATGATGTATCTGATAAAGGGTTAGTACCCCAAAATGTATAAAGAATGTATACAACTCAACACCCAAAAAACAATCTAAATAAAAAAGAGAGAAGATGTGAACAGACATTTCTCCAAAGAAGACATCCAGATGGCCAACAGACACATGAAAAGATGCTCAACATCACTCATCATCAGGGAAGTGCAAATCAAAACCACAACGAGATATCACCTCACACCTGTCAGAATGGCAGGAATAAAAAATACAAGAAATGAGTGTTGGTGAGGATGTGGAGAAAAAGGAGCCTTCATGTACTGTTAGTGGAAATGTAAACTGGTGCAGTAACTCTGGAAAACAGTTTAGAGTTTCCTCAAAAAATTGAAAATAGAATTACCATATGATCCAGTAGTTGTACTACCGGGTATTTACCCAAAGAATACAAAAACACTAACTCAAAGGGATATAGGCACCACTATGTTTATTGTAGCATTATTTACAACAGCCAAATTAGGGAAGCCCAGTGTCCACTGATAGATGAATGGATAAAGACGATGTGGGATATATACAATGGAATATTGGTCAGCCATCCATAAAAAAAAAAAAAAAGAATGAAATCATGTTATTTGCAACAACATGGATGGATCTAGAGTATAATGCGAAGTGGAATAAGTCAGAGAAAGACAAATACCATACAATTTCACTCATATGTGGAATTTAAGAAACAAAACAAATGAACAAAGGGGAAAAAAGAAACAAACCAAGACAGAATCTTAACTATAGAGAACAAACAGATGGTTACCAGAGAGGAGGTAGCTGGGGGGGATGGGTGAAATAGGTGAAAGGGATAATAGTATGCTTATCTTGATGAGCACTATGTAATATACAGAATTGTTGAATCATTATATTGTACACCTGAAAAATATAACACTGTATGTTAATGGCACTGGAATTTAAAAAAAATTCAAGGGGCTCTGATGTATGGCTAAGATTGAGAACCAGTGCCCTAAAGTAAGCGTCAAGCACATGGATTAATATTTTATCATTTCTTTCGTTTTTTAAATGTTTATTTAGTTTTGAGAGAGAGCGAGAGAGCACATGCTTGCACATGAGAGAGCGCCGGAGGGGCAGAGAGAGAGGGAGACAGAGGATCCAAAGCAGGCTGTCAGCACAGAGTCCAATGTGGGGCTCAAATTCACAAGCTGCAAGATCATGACCTGAGCCGAAGTCGGACACTTAACTGACTGAGCCACCCAGGGGCCCCTTATCTTTTCTTAATTGTAGTAATTGACATAGGTGGCTAGGAAGAAGACCGTCTTCTCCTAAAGGAGAGACCAATTGCCACATTCCCAGTAGTCCTGAGGGCCGTAAGGAGACTCATGTAGGAACTCAGCTCTTTGATTGTGGTGGTGACAGAAAATGACTTTGTTATCTGAAGCCAATTTAAAACGATATGCTAATTAGGGGCGCCTTGGTGGTTCAGTCGGCTGAGCATCTGATTTAGGCTCAGGTCATGATCTCATGGTCCATGTCGGGCTCTGTGCTGACAGCTCAGAGCCTGGAGCCCGCTTCTGATCCTGTGTTCCCTCTCTCTCTGCCCTCCCCTGCTCAAGCTGTCTCTTGCTGTCTCTCAAAAATAAACAAACATTAAAAAAATTTTCTAAAAGGATATGCTAACTAATAAAATGACAAATCAAGCTAAAACAAAAAGAATAAAAGAACAAAGTGGTAAGACGTAAAAAAAGGTCTAAATTAATATACAAAAAAGTAAATTTTAGGACAAATTAGATACAGTAAGAGTGAATGTTTATAATCAAAAATTAAGCTGCATTACACTCAGGTTGCGTATATGAAATACCCAATATTTGATCATGTGAAACAAATGATAACAAATTCATATGGCTCAAAAATAATGTGGTTAAAAACCAGATTTAATGATAAAGCAAAACAAGATGAAAGGCAAAGCATCAGCCTCAGAGAGAAGACCCTCTGGCAGAGCAAGAGCAGTGCTTTGGCTGGGTGCCCACTTGTCTATTCTAAGCTGGTCTCACTGAGGCCTGGGACCTGGGGTGACAGGGACCCCAGGGAAGTAGGCTCTTGGCACTGGCTTTCTGGTGTTTGTTTGGCTGTGTGGCCTGGGACACCTGCCGGGACCCTTAACGGTTCTCAGAGAGCACTACTAGATGGTTAAGTAGCAAGTTGTTTATTCTGACTGACTGGCAAACAGCCTGTAGACTGCCAAGATTCCTACTAGACAAGGCTCGGAGGAGGGTACTGTTGGCAGGCTGGTCAAATTTGCAGGTTAAATTCAATTTATTAAACATTTATTAAATTCCTCCTCTGTGCCAAGCCCTCTAGAGGGCACTGGGGATATGGCAGTGAACAGGAAATCAGAGTGGAATCTTTAAGGGCTGGTGGGATTAGGGCCCTGGAATGGGGTGAGGGAGCGCGGCAGGTTGGGTCCCCCAGGAGTGGACTTTGAGATGAGGTTTTAGCATACGGAGCTGCTGGAGCTCTGGGCATCGCACTCTGTGAAAGGGAAGGAATCAGGATCAGGTGCTGGGAGAAGGTGGACTGCAGCGCAGTCTCAACCAAGGCCTCAGCTGACCAGTGCGGAGCTCTGAGGCTGGAATGGCCCTTCGCGGTTGTCTGATGTCACAAGCGGAGTCTTGAGCCTCTATAAACCCCCAATGACCAGTCATTGGATGTGACTGTCCTCTTGGAGGAGGCAGCTCTCTCCAGCCAAGGGTAGTTTCCAGGTGGAGATAACGGCTCAGGGAAATCAGCCAGAAGTGCTCTCAGCAGCTGGGACAGTAAGTTCTGATGGGGAATCTGGTGTTACGTCATAATGTCCATTACAGGTAGTGTCTTAGTTTGCTCACATTTCTCTAACAAAATACCACAGCCTGGGAAGCTTATAAACCACAGAAATTTGCTTCTCATGGTTGTGGAGGCTGGAAGCCCAAGATTGGGGTGCTAACATGGTAGGACTCTGGTGAAGGCGCTCTTATGGGTTGTGACTGCGACATTCCATTGTGTCCTTACATGGTGGAAGGGAGGGAGGGATCTTTCTGTGGTCTCTTTTTGTTGTTTTTCTTTTCTTTTCTTTTTTTCTTATGTTTATTTATTTTTGAGACAGAGAGAGACAGAGATTGAGGTGGGGAGGGGCAGAGAGAGAGGGAGACACAGAATCCAAAGCAGGCTCCAGGCTCTGGGATGTCAGCACAGAGCCCAACATGGGGCTCGAACCCATGAACCATAAGATCATGACCTGAGCCAAAGTCGGATGCTTAACTGACTGAGCCACCCAGGCACCCTTATTATTATTATTTAAATTTTTTAAACATTTATTCACATTTGAGAGACAGAGAGAGACAGAACGCAAACAGGGGAGGGGCAGAAAGAGAGGGAGACATAGAATCCGAAGCAGGCTCCAGGCTCCGAGCTAGCAGCACAGAGCCCAACACAGGGCTCGAATCTGGGGCCTCTTTTATAAGGGCACTAATCTCTTGATTTGGACACCGCTTTTAGAACCTAATCACCTCCCAAGGACCGCATTTCTAATATCTTGGGGTTAAGATTTTAACATATGAAATTTGGGGAGGAGGATACATAAACATTCAATCCATAGCAAGTAGTGATAAAAAAAAATGGCTAGATAGAGTCATTCTGTACAAGATCCTGAATGTGAAGTGAATCAATGAATGGTTAGTTGACTGGATCGTCCCTACTAGTCATCTATGAAGCACCAAAAAAACAAACTCACCTTTGATGGCCCAGGCAGACATGATGTAACCCCAGTGAAATGAGCAAAGTCTTGAGTTGGGTGGCACGTGGAAGATGTGTGATGCGCCACTCTCCCATCTGGGCTCCACACACTCACAGTGGCATGTGGAGGGACAAGGGTGAGGCGAGGTGTGGAGACCAAGCAGGTCACTGCCGTGTTTGCAGAATCAGTGGCTACTTGGTACAGAGGAGAAAAGACTCTGTGGAGAGGGCGTGAAACTGTCTCAGAGTGGACCTGGGGAGGAAGGCAGACCACCCTTAATGGAGGGAAGACTTCGTGTCAGTAGCAGGCAACAGTTCCTATGGTGAGAATTGCTAGACAAGGGAGTGGGGTGAACTTCTCTCCCCTGGTGACAGCTTAAAAGATGTAACATGATCAGAGGAAAATTTTTAAATGAAATACGGAGATATTGCTAAGTGAAACTCGCCTTGGCCATTCCTTGTAGCTGGAGACTAAGATATGATAAAAGAATGATAAAAAAGAGATTTTTACAGATTTCGTAGAAACTATAAGAAGAAACTGGAGTGGGGTTGGGAGAGTTTCTGCAGAGGACAGTCGCAGGGATCAAAAGGGAAATGGCTTGAAATACGGATAAAAGGGAATGAACTGAAACCATATGTCCAAGATATTTTTGGGCACAGCACCTGCTGTTGCCAACAGGCACATGGTGAACCCACAATGCATCTCCCGAGGGCCTACACAGAGACCTCACCTGTGGAAGGAAGCCTTAGGGAGTTCTTAATCTCACTTATTCAATGGCAGTCTGAGGAAGCCGATGGGCTTATTTCAGTAACATGTTTTTACATTCATGACACAAAATACTGAGATTACAAATACAGTTCTCAAAATATTAGCAAGACATGTTTATAATATAGCATAACACATTACAGAACCATATCTAGTAGTGGATTTAATAACTATGTATCTTTCAAGTAGTGCTAAACACAAGTATCTTTAAAGATATCTACACAAAGGTATGTTCAAGCATCATGGGATATGAAAAAAATGTGTGATTTGCTGACAAAAGCATGGGTCTTGCCAATACTACTGTGGGTTGTTACCTACATTCATAATTGAGGGAAGTGCTAAGTGTTATTATATTAATGGAATATTAGTTTAGCTACACATTAGTTAAGGGTTTTTTTCACCCCAGTTCAGGGACCCCCCAAATCCTGTCCCATCTGAGGACCCCAGGTCAAGGGTCCCTAAAGTGACCACAGTAGGGAGGCAGCAGTCAACAAGGCTGGGGAGCCGTTGATGGGTCAGATGTCAAAGGACCCACACTATTGATTAGAGTCTGGTGAGTCTCTGCTATTGCCTACCCTCCATAACTCTATGCCCCTTTCTAGCATTCAAGGTTCTTTCTTTTTAATCAGACATGGAACCATCATCCCAATGAGGATAAAGGTAGTAAATAAAATTTCTTGATTTCACTTCTGCGAGGATTTCCCCTGGGGAAGAGTTAAAAGCTCTAGACAAGGATGGAATTAGGACTGAGATCTGGAAACGATAAGTTCGGGAGAAGGTGTGAACCCAAAGAACACCTTCACCACCTTTCCCTAGCATGTGTTGTTCATTCAGAAACAGAAGAATGTTGGGGGGCTTGGGAGGCTCAGTTGGTTAAGCATCTGACTCAGACTTAGGTCGTGATCTCACCATTTCGGGGTTCATTCCGGGGTTCAAGCCCTGGGTCGGGCTCTGTGCTGACAGCTCAGAGCCTGGAGCCTGTTTCAGGCTCTGTGTCTCCCTCTCTCTCTGGCGCGCGCGCGCGCGCGCACACACACACACACACACACACACACACGCCAGCGCGCGTGCTCTCAAAAATAAACATAAAAAGAAAAAAAAAAAAAACCAGAAGAATCTTTTCCAGAATCAGGGACCCTTGAGCTAAGTTCTAGGGATTTCATGTTCCACATTCCTTTCTTGTGTCAGTTCACAGTGTTTCATAGAGATGTATTTATATCAGAAAATGGCCAGATTTCACGTCTGAGATTTATCAAACCTGGCGTGATAGAATGAATCATTGATCTCAATTCTCCACTTCCTGTATACCTCCATGCCCTTGCTAGCGCTTCCTAGTGGTCAGAGTTACTCCCTGACCCCTTGACGCTGATCATGATCATGTGACTTGTTTTGGCCAATGGGATGTTAGCAGACAGGGTATACTCAGAGTGCCTGCGCAGTTGGGAGTTGCCTTTGGTGCTCAATGCCTTTTGTCGTGGGAAGAGCATTCCCTGGGTAACCACCCCGCGTGGAAAATATGGAGACACGTAGAGTATATCTGGACCTGGCCTGTAGCCTGGAACTAAGCCCGGCTGAGCCAGCCTTAAATTAGCCAACTTGCAGCTGTGGGGGCCTGAGAACTCAGTGCTTTTTGCTGTATACCCCTGACTTTGGGAGGTGGTTTTTATCACAGCATGATTCTAGGTAGAGTTAGTACACCTAGCAATGTATTCTCAACGCAGTATGGTTTACAATAAACTCACGCTTTAATTTATTCGTTGCTTAAAATCCTCTAATACAAAGTTTATGCTAAAAAAAAAGATGCCTATTCGTTTAAGTTCGATATTTATATATTTTTAGACTCTGGCAGTTGGTCACTCAAGATATTTCAGTGCATTGAATACACATAAGCTGATATAACGCAGGAGAAAATAGTGGAGTGGTAGTGAGGGAAGCACAGAAGACTGTTAGATGTTAAATTCAGCAAGTATTTATAGAATTCCTAATTATATGCAAGGTACTTTTCAAGGTACTAGAGATGGGCGGGTAACAATCCCTGCCTTGTTGGAGCTTTTCCTCCTAGCTTTCCCTTATTGGATATGGGAATTACTCTGTTCCATAGCAAAACAGGTCTCTCCATATCGAACCATAAATTATGGGAGTGAAATCGACAGGAAGAATAAGGAAAGTTCACACCCACTGAGACTTCAGTATGTGGAACGGACCATATCATGAAGGGAAAAAGTAAGAAATGGGTGGACACTCAGGAAATAAGTAGCAATGAGTTTTATTCAAAATGGGGGAGAGAAGTTTATCTCCCAAATGGAAAACCTAAAATAAATAAATAAAGTCAAATCAGAGAGAGGAAGTGGCTTTTTTTCTTGCCAGGCATTGACCCCAGTGTCAGGAAAAAGAAGAGAAATGGACTCTTAAGTTGTTATTAAACAGTTATGGCCTCTGCCTCCTGGGTAAAGTAACCAGAGACTCTGTTACTAACCATACATATGTTGTCACATGTTCTCTACTTCTTCCAGGAACTTTTTGCCCGAAGAGTTGTAAGGTTATCCTAGGCAACCTGAGTGATCTGTCTAAAATATCCACTTTATTGGGCAGCCCTAGTGCTGGTTCTGGCCTTCACTTCTGGCCACTTACTTCCCAGACATCTGCAGAAGAAGTGAGAAAGACAGATAATTTGGCAACCTAGTCAAACATCTAAATATATGGAAGATTCTGGAAACAACAATGGCATAAAGAAAGTATACATTTATTTCTCACTCACATGAAAATATGGGCAAGCTGTCCACGATTGGTACAGTGTTCCATGCTCTCGGGGACTCAGGATTCTTCTCCTGTTGCTGCTCCTTTTGTGGCTTTGACCCCTTGTCCAAGATGGCAGCATTTACGCTCCAGGCAGCACAATAAAGAATAGGCCAAAGAAGAAGAGAAAAAGGGATATTTCTGCTGCTTCTTAGGGAAGAGACAATACTGTCATTTTACATTCCAGTGGCTGGATTTTATTTATTTGTTTATTTGTTTATTTATTTATTTATTTATTTATTTCAGAGATAGAGAGAGAGAGAGAGAGAGAGAGAGAGACAGCGTGAGCATGGAAGGGTCAGAGAGAGAGAGAGGGAGACACAGATTCTGAAGCAGGCTCCAGGCTCTGAGCTGGCTGTCAACACAGAGCCTGATGTGGGGCTTGAACCCACGAACTGTGAGATCATGACCTGAGCCGAAGTCAGACACTTAACCTACTGAGCCACCCAGGCTCCCCCGAGTGGCTGGATTTTAAACATCTTGCTTCTCTCAGCCACTTCTGGAGGTTGAAAAAGAGTAATTTTTTTGGGTAGCTACGTGTCCAGCCAAAAATTAGGGGATCCAGCCCAAGAAAACAAAGGGTAGACACTGGGGATGGGTTAGTCAGAATAGGGAGGCTATGCTGTGGTACAAAGAAACCCTAATATCTCAGTGGCTTGACGTAACTAAGCTTTATTTCTTGCTCAGGAATCTAGGTTGACGTACATTCTACTATCACTGAGCTGAGTCACCTAGAACCCAGGACCTCTGGGACAACTCAACTAAGGAAGAGAAGTCACGGCGGAGGACACGGGCTCCTGAATGCTTCAGCTCACTAGTGGTATAACCTCATTTTTTCTCTCAGCACCTCTGCCAGAGCTAGTCACGTGGTCTCCATCTAACCGGCAAAGGAGCCTGGGAAACATTTGATTATCATCAGTGAACAATAAATATCTAAGTATCTCTGCCATGGGTTAAAACATGTATCTGTATCGCTTCTTGGCCATTTGGCTAAGAATCAGGTGTAAAAAAATGCATATGTGTATATGCATATACAATGATTAATTGCTAGAGCAAATTGAAGTTTTGATTGAACACATCAGCATTTAACATTCCTTTCTTCCTCTCAGCTGGCTTACATGTGGCTTGGAGCCTCAATTTCCTTCTAGCCCTGTCAATTTGCACTTTTCTTACATCCACAGTCTTGAAGAAACACCATGAGAGCTGATGCTAGATTTCCCATCTGACACAGAGGAGGTCTCCTTTTAAACAATAATAAAAATAGCCTCCATTTATGTTGCTGTTTTTTCCCCCTTTGTCTCGTCTATTGAAAGAGCCAATTAAACAAAGTGTGTGCTTTCGGCGCCTGTTCTGTGCTCATTTTAAGATTTAATCAACCCTCTGAACCTGCAGCGTAACCGCCTCATAATGTCAAGTTAATATATTGAGATCAACTCAAACCCACCATTCCCAAGGGTGGTTTTGTTTAAAGGCGAGTTGTAATTGAATTTCTAAACAACTGCCAAGCTTTCAAGGTACCAAAATAAACATTATCCAAACAGAAACTTACCCTGGAGTCTTTGGTTAACTTACGTATGCTTTAAGAAAATAGAGGTTTTAACAACTTTTTTTAAAGAAGTGAGCTAAACTCTTTGTTGTCCCTTTGAAAATTAATCACCATCTGCCCCCGTGTTTCAAGGCACCCGGAGCTGAACAGCGAGATTTACAAATCAGGTAAATCAGCAGCTGATTATTCACTGAGACACGGTTTGCTTTATAGGAAGTGGCCTTTCAGTCTCCTTTAACCCCTGAGCTCTTTCATTGCTCAACTAAGTATCTTTAGGGCTGCTCACTGCCTGCAGAGTGGAGTCCAAATTCTCTAGCCTGGAGTCGTACACTCTCTGTGCTCTGTCTCCAGCATCATTTTCCAGGCTCACCTCCAGCTACAGAACCCTTTCGCCTTTCAACCGAGAATGCGTCCTATTCATCAGTCGTATCTCACAGTTCACCTCTCGCAAATGTGTTTGACACTTTTCTCCTTGGGTATGTATTGATGCGATCCCCTTAATCTGCAATGCTCTTCATCCTAAATCCATCTCTTAGAGTCCCACCCCAATCTTGTTCTTCTCAGTTATGTTAAATGCCACCTCTGTGCTTTATAGCAGCCAGGGACACATTTATCATAAACGTCCCTCCTCCTGTCTTGCATCAACATAATTTATGTCTGGCTTCCACGTGAGATTGTAAGTTCCGTAAAGCCAGGAAGTATTTCTGTTTTTTTCTCTCTGCTTTGTGTCCACGAATATTTGCTGAGTACCTGCTAAGTGCCTGGCCCTCTGCTAGAAGCTCCGAGTACAGATATCCCATGTTATGACTGGTTGCAATATTGAAGGAAAAGAAGAGATGAAGTAAAGAATGAGGTTAGAGATAGCAGTACAAGATGGGATGCACCTGAGGGTTACAATATCTGATGGACAGTTATCTGCGGCTTGATTGGTATATGATAGAATGTCTTGTAAACAAGGAGACGCTGCCACCAGCTTGAGCAGAGCTTCTTGGAGGGGCATGATCAGGCATCTGGACGTTCGTGGACAAGGAGAAGTGACATGTAACAGCATGGGCAAGGGCAAAGGGGAGTTTTCGTGACACTCAAAGGGAAGAGCGGATAGTTTTTAATGTAAAGTATTTGTGAAGGGAATCATCGGAGATAGATGAAAATCAGGGGGAAAGGCACCGAGAAAGTCCCAGATTTCCAGAAGGAAGAATTTGGGCTCAGTAAGCACAGGGAGCCACTGAGAGGTGCTGAGCTTTGGTGTGACGTGGCTGGTGCCCTTCTTGGGAGTGTTAGCCTGGCATTGGTGCGGGAGGATGGGAAAAGTGACAGGTCATCCCTGACACAGGAGCAAAACTGAGGGTCTGAACCGAGGCAGCAGCGGCCAGCATGGAGGGGCGGTAGGAAGTGGGTGACCTTGCGCAGAAGTGAAATCACCTGGACTTATGAACGAGGGAGATGTAGGAGTCAAAGGTGGGTACTGAGCTTTTCAGTCTAGAAACCTGCAGAAATGGCAATGCTGTCACTGGTGAGGGGCACCTAAGAGGAGGACCAGATCTGAGGGGAGTTTGTGAGCATGAGGGGCCGACAGGAAATCCAGGTGGGGAGCCACAGGCAGTAGGCGATGTGGACTGGAATTCAGGTAAGGGGCGGGGCTGGATATGATTAATATTTATGAAACATTTTCAAATTTCGAGCATCACGTATGTTAGCATTTTATTTGATTATATTATTTTTGAAAGTTTATTTTTGAGAGAGAGAAAGCATGAGTAGGGGAGGGGTAGAGAGAGAGGGAAAGAGAGAGAATCCCAAGCAGGCTCCATACTGTCAGTGAGGAGCCCGATGCAGGGCTCGGACCCACAAACTATGAGATCATGACCTGAGCCCAAGTCAGCTGCTTAACCAACTGAGCCATACAGGTGGCCCTGTTAGCATTATACTATTGGAATGCCTATGCACTTAATTATTGGAACATCTTTATATGAATATTCATATGCATCTTTAATGAGATATAATACATGTACTACTACAGATATCACCCGCTTAAAGTATACAATCTAGTGAATTTTAATACACTCACAGGGTTGTGCAACCATCAACACAATGTCAGTTTATTTTTAAAATTTTTTTTTACTATTTATTTCTTTTTGAGAGAGAGAGAGACAGAGTGTGAGTGGGGCATGGGCAGAGAAAGAGGGAGACATAGAATCTGAAGCAGGTTCCAGGCTCTGAGCTATCAGCACAGAGCTGGATGCAGGGCTCAAACTCATGAACCTGTGAGATCATGACCTGAGCCGAAGTCAGATGCTTAACTGACTAAGCCACCCAGGTGCCCCAACATAATGTAAGTTCAGATAGTATATATCACCTCTCAAAGAGAGTCTGTGCCCATTAGCACTCACTTTCCATTCCTCCCACACCCTCCGCCGAGCCCAAGGCAACCACTAATTTACTTTCTGGCTCTATAGATTTTCCTATACTGGACATTTTAAATAAATAGAATCATATAATTATAACGTGGTATTTTGTGACTTGCTTCTTTCACTTAGCAGGTTTTCAAAGTTCATCCACTTTGTAGTGTATATCGTATACTTCATTCTTTTTTAGTGCCGAATAACATTCCATTGTTTGAATATGCCTTATTTTGTTTATCTATCCGTTAGTCATTGGCTTGTTTCTACTTTTTGGCCATTACAAATAAATCTGCTGTGAACATTCATGTACAAGTTTTTGTGTAGAATATTTTCATTTCTCTTGATTAGAAGCCTGGAGTGGAATTGTTGGGGGATATAGTAACGCTGTGTTTAATATTGTGAGGGACAAACTGTTTCCAAAGTGACCAAACCATTTAAAATTCCCACCAATGATGCACAAGGGTTCCAAATTCTCCACATCTTTGCCAACACTTGTTTTTGCCCATCTTTTTTTTTTTTTTTTTTTTTTTTACAAATAGTTTATTGTCAAATTAGTTTCCACATAACACCCAGTGCTCATCCCCACGAGTGCCCTCCTCCATGCAGCCATCCTAGTGGGTGTGAAGTGCTCTCTCGTCGTGGTTTTGATTTGCATTTCCCTAACAACTAATGATGTTGAAGAACTGTTCTTTTCTTTTTAAAAAATATTTATTTTTGAGAAAGAGAGAGAGAGAGCGTGTGCACTAGTGAGGGAGCGGCAGAGAGAGAGGGAGATAGAGGATCCAAGGCAGTATTTGTGCTGACAGCAGAGAGCCCAACGTGGGGCGTGAACTCATAGACCGTGAGGTCATGACCTGAGCTGAAGTCGGACACTTAACTGACTAAGCCAGCCACCCAGGTACCCCCACCCATTTTTAAATTGGGTTTTCTTTTTGGTATTGGGTTGTTCTTTATATATCCTTGGTATGTTTCTTTTTAGATATATGATTCGCTAATATTGTTTCCCATTCCGTGGATTACCGTTTCCTCTGGGGTGTGTGTGTGTGTGCGTGCGCGCGCGCACACACACACACACACGCAACATTTATTTGCAGCACAAAAATTTTTATTTTGATGTAGTCTAATTTATGTTATTTTTTCTGTCATTGCTTGTGCTTTTGGTATCATATCTAAGAAAGCATCAGCAACCCAAGGTCATGAAGTTTGCCTGTATGATTTCTTCTCAGATTTTCAATTTCTGTTGTAACATTTAGGGCAAGTTAATTTTTGTGTAATACATTCTTTTCCTTGTGGATTCCGATGATCTCAGTACTATTTGTTAAGAGGACTATTCTTTCCCCATTGTGTCAAAGAAACACAAATTCTATATAATCTCACTTAAATGTGAAATCTCAAAAAAAAAAAAAAGGGTTGAACTCAGAAACAGAAAGTAGAATAGTGGTTATTAGGGTGTAAGAGGCGAAGGAGATGGGGAGATGTTGGTCAAAAGGAACAAGCTTTCAGTTATAAGATGAATAAGCTCTGGGGATCTAACGCACAGAATGACGACTGTGGTTAATAATATTGTGTTGTGAGGGGCGCCTGGGTGGCTTAGTCGGTTGGGCGTCCGACTTTCGCTTAGGTCATGATCTCGCGGTTCGTGGGTTCGAGCCCCGCGTCGGGCTCTGTGCTGACTGCCAGCACAGAGCCTGGAGCCTGTTTCAGAGTCTGTGTCTCCCCCTCTCTCTGACCCTCCCCTGCTTACGCTGTCTCTCTCTCTCTCTTTCCTGGAAATAAATAAAAATATAAAAAAAAAAATAATATTGTGTTGTGTATTTGAAATTTGCTAGGGGAGAAGATCTTAAGGATTCTCACCTATATACATACGAAACAAAAACAAAGCATAACTATGTTTTAGTTGGTGATGGATGTGTTAATTAACCAGATTATAGTAATAATTTAATAAAGTATACATAATTCAGATTGTCATGTTGTACACTTTAAATATATGCAGTTTTATTTG